GGAGGGTTGCTTTGCCCCCGCTTCCTCCTACCCAAACTGCTGCCCGGTTTACTGGGATGCCTATGGTGATGCAATCCCCTCTTTGCAGCTGGGAAAGGGCCCATCCTACCGGGAAAACAGCAAAAATGAAGTTTGGACATTGCAAAGCTGTCGATCTGAACTCTCACTTTCAGAGTCCGGTACTCCGGCGGCATCCTTCGCTTTCGGGGTCACACCACCAGTTTAAAGCAATGTGGTTTTAGGTGAGCAGCAACAGCCACAGAGCCTTTCTGGTTTAATTTTTTTTGGCTAATGCTGTTGATGCAAATATCCTCTTTCTCCACACACCTTCAAGGTTTTCTTTCCCCACTGCTAAACGCTGCTGTTGTTGAAAATCCCACCTTGAGAGGCTGCAGCAAGCGCAGCCATCGCCGGCGGCTCTCCGAGCACGAGGGCTGGCCGGAGGCGGGCGGACACGGCTGTCGTGGTGCTGCATTCCCAGTGAGGTCGGGCAAAGCCAGTACCCAGTGCCCGTGCTGTGCTGCCCGCAGCAAAGCCAACCGTTTCCCCAGGTCTCTGGAGCAGCCACCAGCACCTGAACCCCAGCAGATCCCTGAGAGCAAGACCCTTGGAGCTGGACAGCTCTGCAAGGGTTTCTGCAACCTGCCTCACGGCTGAATTTCGACTCCCTGGGGCTCTGCGGTACCCAACAGCCGCAGCACATCGATGGACACGCAGCAGCAGGAGGGCAGGGAGGGATTCTGCTCACCTCAAGTGAATTCCTTGGCTTCAAGCCATGCCAAGAGCGAGGGATGAGCCGAGAAGCTGCATCCCAGGTGGGCTGCCAGGGATGCCAGTGTTTCCCACTCCTGGGGAGCCAGGCAGGGATGAGGACCCCCGTGCCAGCAGCCTCCTCCAGACCCGAAATCCCCACCATATCACAGAGGAGCAGGGAAATGGCCAGAAAAGTGACCGCAATCAAAGCCACCACAATCGGCGGGTAAAAATTAGACTTTTATTTTTAATTCGAGTAAACCAGGAAGAGAATCGGTTGGATTGTTCCATTCAACGGTTCAGCTAAAAAGGCCAGATAACGTTTTTTTTATCGGTGGGGGCTCAACCCGACGGGAAGGAGTACACAAGGACAAACCCCAATCAAGCGACGGATCCAGAAGAAAACACGCTCTAAGCTCAGCACTGAGACGCGACCAGGGAAGCTGGGATGGATGACGTCTACTTTACACGTGATGAGAAGCAATTTAGCTTTCAAATTTTTTTTTTTTTTTACTATTTTATTTATTTATTTATTTTAAATACAGGTTTAGGTGCTTTTCAGCTATGAAAAAAGGCAAAAAAGTGCATAAGTCGAGAGAAAAGGCAGAAATCAAGCAGTAAGAGGTCTGTTTCCCATGGCAGGGGAGACGGGGCAAGGCGTGGGAGGGGAGAACCAGGACAATGGTTTCAAGGTAGCATTAAAAAAAGGTCTGTATACCAAAACGTAATCGCCCGTGTTATTTGGTCCATTAAAAAAACGGTTTATTCACATTGATACTCCCTCCCCCCCATTCCCAGACAAGAACGTGATTAAGAAGAGGATTAGCAGGGAGACACGGACTCCCCCCCTGCCCAGCCACCCCCCTCCCCTGCTCTTGTGCTCAATTGTTTTAGCACCATCCGGGATTCCCATCCCGTAAAGCCCATCCCGGCTGCTTCTGGGGTCCCGTTTTCACCCCAAGGCAACGACGGTGCCAGGAGTCCCCGTCCCTCTCCCCCCTCCCGTT